GCGAGCGAGCTGCAGCTGTCCGGGACCTTTGATGAGTTCTGCAAGAATGATCCTTGCCAAGCACAATACCTTGCAGACATTTACTTCAGCTGCCCTGTGATTTTCACCTCCTCCTTGTCACCCTCTCCATCATTCTCTCTCTCTCTCTCTCACTTCCCCGTCGACCCCTCGACGGTTCGAGCTCAATCTTTGTCTCTTCGCACGCATCACTGTCCTTAGCAGAGGCCAGACAAAATGTTGCAAGCCGTTTGACGGGGAATGCGTTCAGGAAGAATGAAAATGAGAGGCACTGGGCCCTCAGCACCCAAGAGAAACCAACGCAAGCATCACGACGTGTGGACTTAAGAAGGAAATCTGCGGCTCCCGAGTTTGATGGATGTGGCTCTGTCAGCGGCAGTAGGCCCGAGGAATCCTTCTACGTGGAGGTCTTCTCCCACTTCTTCGTACTTGTACTTGTTACTAGCAACTAGCATTTGCATCATTGCTGTCGCGAGGCTGCGCGGGAACCAATCATTAAGTACTGTATCGTGATGTTACGACTGCTGCTCTTGAACCTGGTCGAGACAACACATATAAATCCAATCAACCACTCCACGTCTCTATTGGCATCTTGTGGTGTTTTTGCAAAGCTCTAGCTGGCAAGTACGTATCAGGCTGGTCCAAACATGTCTGAACTTGGCTTCGCAGTGTTGTGGCCCTGAAGATGCTTTACAAGTTACTGTTGATGCTAGTTATGTGAAGCCAGATGTGTGGGATCGCCTTGCTTCGTCGGGAGCAACACCATCGTGCCATAAAGGTTAGCACCACAGACATGATTGAGTCCGAGTTATCTTGAAGTACTCGTTTAAGGACCGAGCTTAGAGCTGGTGGATGCCAGGCCACCCTGGCCCAAAACGGCAACGAAGTACATCTGCATAATGTCAAAGCCATTTAGCCTGAGATTAAGCTGTGTGCGTCGCTTGCTCGAAGCCACGTGCGCGGAAACCACCATGACACTTCATAGAAAGCTCCGTCTGCAATGCCCGCGCCCGCATCCACCTCATCACGACACTCTGTTGCGGAGTGCTTTGGGGGTCTGAGATCTAGCTTGCCATGTTTCATGGGGTCCAGGAAGAGCGAAGGGGCAGGGTGGGGTCTAGAAGAACGTCCTCTTCGGAAGATCTCGACTGCTGCATGGTGGGACGCTGCTGCGCTCCTAAGGAGAAAGTAGTGGACAAGGAGGGGCATGCCAGAAGGAAAATCTGAAGCCGCACCGGCTCTTGTCTCCATCTCGAAGTCGTTGCACCCGTGAAGGTGCTGACAGCCTGCAAAGCAAAGTGCAAAGAGTCAAAGTTGCTGGACTTCGAGACACCGCAGAGGAAAGCCTCACTTGCTTGCAGTTCCTGGTATCTTTGTTGCCATGCTCATTTCCGATTACAAACCTTTTTGCAGGATTGGTCTCATTTCAGATCTCTGGACCCCGGAGAATGACATGCTCACAGCTGCGATGAAGCTGAAGAGACCGTTGATTGCGGAGAAGCACAAGCGCGGGATGTTCAAAATCTGCTGTGTTGGAATTTTTGTGTTGGCATTGGCAGAGCACAGCGCAGGGTAGAGCAAGTAGGCTGTGTGTGGGCTGCATCAAGAGCAAGTGACCCTGAGGGAGGAGATTCAAAAGCTCTATGCCTGAGAGATGTTTGCAGGAGACAGCTTAGAGACAACCCTGGAACAACTCGGATGCGGTCGAAGCCGAAGGGTTTCGTGCCGTGATTTCGATTGTCTCCACTTGATTTCGAGCCACCGGTTGCCCTGCTTTGAACAGTATGCTGGGTAGCTGCTGAAGCTGAGTGAAGACTGGCTTCAGTTGAACGGTGGAGCCCGGTTTCCATTCCTGTGAGTGGTGTGCAGAGACTGGAGTTGGAGACTGGTGCACTTTAAAAGCCAGTTGAAAGCGAGGAAGACTGCCAAGTGACGCTGGGGAAGGGAGCCTGCTGCATGCTGCCCTGCGGCAATCCGTGCTGTGAGTCACTTCGCAGCCGGGACATGCTGTTCAACGACGGCAGGGCCACTTCCTAAGAGTGACATGTTCTTTATCGACCACATGTAAACGTCCACTAGACTGCAGAGGTCATCCTTTATCCATGTCGGAATTTCGGAAACGGCGTGAACCAACTGCACTGCAAATTCCCAAGTGCCCGAAGCCTTCCCACAATCCGACTATGGCAATGCTTAACATATCAGACCTTGTGTGGACTGGAAGGATATCAGGATATCTCCTCGCATGGAACCACGGACATGCAATAGGCTATACCTGCATGCGATGGACCGACAGATCACAAACTTGCAATTACTGCACCGGTATGGCCCGACATGTTGCTCCCGAAGCCATCCAAGCAGTCAATTCAGAGTCAGAGTACGAAGCACAGCGGCATCACACTGCCGCCCAGGTGTCCGGAAAGGTGGGTGGTGCTGACCGCAAGCCTTTGCAGGTCGCATATTGCAATTGGCGGTTGGAGCTGGAAAAACGCTTTACATGATTGTGGTGCCCGAAGTGTTGTCGTTGTACTGTAAGCGGGCTCGTCCGGGATAACTCACGATATTTTGGGGTCGGGATCGCCAAGCACAAGTTGTAGACACTTCACCGGTGTGTTCATCCGTTCCGTTTCTTGTGTAATCTTGTGTGCAGTGTGCAGGCGATGCACTCGTTTTTCGACTGGAGTTGGCTGGTCGCTTGAGTTGTTGCCGCGCTCTTGTCAGACTCCACGGCGTGCCAAAAGTCAAAGTCCATTGGTTGGCAAGGCGGGACAGCAAGACGGCTTTCCATTCTTGACAAACCCCTTGAAACACACTTCCGCTCAATCTCAGGAGAACAACTCGCGTGCAGCAGACAAGGGGTTTGACCAAAACTGGGCAGGTGACGGATGCAGGCCGCGAGCCATGTCCCCAGACCACGAGTATGACGAACCAGCGGGCGCATTGGAACATGACGGCATTCGATGACAGCCTGACTACGGTGACTGAAAGCTAGGCAAAATGGCTGGCACACCAGGCAAGTGTCATTGGCTGACAAGGCGGCAGCATGAACTTGACCGGTTCAACCTGCCCTGCCCGAGTCCGACAGGTCAAGTCGCTAGCGGATATGTCAAGAGGCACATCGCTCAGTTCGATCAGAGGAGAAGGTGTGAGAAGGTATTGCAGCTGCATCGAACAAGCCCTTGTAAGAAGGAGACCCAGCCCACTCCTGCTGCTTTGCAGGAAGTGTGTCCACCCGTGCCCAGCGGTGACCCATCAATCTTGAAATATTTGTTCAGAGGCCGTGCGGAAGTTAAACGATGTTTAACCTCACTGGCTAATGTATGTAGGCTTACTCGCATGTTTCACCAAAGTTTGTCTCAATGCCGAATGCAAGAGCGCATCGCGGCCGTTTGCGGCTTTGCAAGGATTGGGGCGGATTTGTGAACACCACTCCACACAAAAAGTACCAAGCTTGCAGTGACCGGGAATCTCCCTTGTGCTTGCAAAGTTTCTCCGCTTTCCCTCAGCCGGTGGCGCATCGTGCTGCAGCGCATTCTCCTACAGATTCCCTACAGACTGTAGACATTGCAGCTGAAGCTTGAAATTCGATCCGATCAGATGAAACTTGGGCTGTGGCTGCTGCAGGGGTTCTTCTGCTTGCCGCTGACCGGCAAGTTGGGTCTGCAGTGCTCAGCGGCAAGCAGCAGGATGCCGAAGGATGACTCGGTGCTCGCCAGGTGCAATTGGCCGCAAGAGCTCCATTGTGGCATCAAAATCTTGCCGACCATTCGCATTTCTCCGCTTTGTCCGTCTGTGAAGCACAGCTGCCTAGCTGCCTCTTGGTTTTTGTCTGCTCCTGGAAGGAAGTCTCGGCTCAAAGTCCGACTCCTCCGGCCTGCGTTGCAACTCGAGCCATGGCCGTGCGCAGCAGGCAGCAAAGCAAGCAGACCAAGCCCAGCTCGGCGGAAAAGGTACCCGGTACCCTGCCGCTCAGGTTGTCCGGATTCTGCATTGCCCTCGCCATGCCACTTCCCCAGGTGGACAGTGTGTTTTTCACTTCAGGTCGAACATTACATCTGTATGTAGCTAGCCTTGCATCGCAGCTGCAGCGAAACCAGCGAAGCATCCTCATGTAGCATGCTGGTCTCGCATGCTACAAGCGTGATGAAGCTCTTGCTTCATAGGTGTCACTCTGTAGAGTCAATCTCAACCCTTCTTCCCGCGGATCCTTTCTCACTCGAGGGAACTTGACCCTTGAAGCCAGATAGAGAGCTAAGCGTAGAAAGCGGTTCATGAGAAAGCGATTCATGGGTGCTTGCTGCTGGATGTGACGAAATATCTTTTAGACACCGAGACTCGCTACAGCTAATCTTGAGGCAGTAACATTGGTAGCGGAGCTCCTGTTCAATCAGGGGGCCGAGCGTCAAGCGTCATGGCCGGAGAGGGCACATCAGATGGGAAGGGCGACAATCGGATCCCAATTTGGTGCGGGCGGCCCGAGAACTTTCATCACTTCACACAAGAGATTAGCTGCTATCTTGCAGGGACGATGTCGTCTGAGAGACCGTGTGCAGCAGCCCGGTTGATAAGACGCTTTCTGGAAAGTGATTACTCTGCTCTTCGCTCGTTGATGTATCGTCTAGAGCTTGCGGGCTTTGTGGGTGAAGAGGCCATCGGGGCTTTGATCAAGTTCTTAGAGGAATCCCCAATGAATAAGCAACCCAGTCCAGGTGCGGGAGCAAAGCTGACGGCTTGCTACAGACGTCTTGCCAGGAAGCCAGGAGAAACCATACCGCAGTTCCTTACCCGTGAGGAGACCCCTTATGACAACATGTGGAGAAGTTTACAATGCCTGCTCCGAGAGAAAGCCCTTGATTTCAGCAAGTATGGCGTGACCATGGCGGAGTTGAAGACCTTCTGCGGCATGCGGGTTGATGCAAGCTAATGTGTAGGAGATCCTGATGAAGGAGTTCCTCCCGATGGACGTTCCCCGTCAAAAGGTCGAACAGCCACCTCGCCTAATGAGGCCACAGAAGCAGGGGCATCATATCACTCTTCGTTTCCAGTTGGCTCAGCACCAAGGGTGAAGGGATCCAAACCTTTGGATCTGATTGAGAGGTAGGTCTGTTGATCTTCGGAATAAGTCCACCATGCATTCTGGGTCTGATCCCAAGAATCCACACCGTACCATTCCTCGGGATGCTCCTCGATAGTGTAGGCCTCGTACCCTGAGCTCTCCCCATGATCACCTTGGGCCCACATGATAGGAGATTTTCCTTTTCCGTGATCTCTACCCTTCGGGGGAAGGCCTTGACGCATAAAACGCCCTTGATCTTCATAAAGAGCGAAAAGAGCTCGCCTAATATCATCATCGGTCAGCTTGTTGTGCGCGGTGGCTTTCACGAGAGACTTCCCCACGCCACTCTCCGCAGTGATCTCGAGGACCGTCCAGCCCCTGATGATGTCAAGAGCCGCCAGAGGTATCAAACCTTTCTGCATGAGGTTCGAGGGCCAGGAGGCTCCCTGGGATAATTATGTGGCGGAGCCTGATGAGGCGGAGATTCATGATTCCGAGCCCCAGGTATAAGATGCCTCGATGGCGATCCAAAAACGCCAGGAGGAAGAGAAGGATATACGATGATGATGGCTGACACACAGAGGAACCTGGAGCAGGCCCGGAGGGCCGCCGCCGAGGCGAAAAGAGACCGCGGATGGTCAGCTCGCCCGGAAGAAGGGGACGAGCGCATGGATGAGCAAGGGTATGAAAGGTCAGGCAAGAGTTTTCCATCCAACATGTACATACTTCTAGAAGGGCAAGGGCCATCGGGATTTTTGGAAGAGGTTCCATGGGTTATGGTGGCGGCTACTCCCAGGGAAAGCACCAGGGTTGGTTCCCGCATCAGCTATGTCGCCGGCATCGACCTGGAGTATGAGAAGCAAGTCACGCATGCAGGGGATGTCCATGAAATTTCGCCGAATCTCAATGAACAGTTGGTTCATGCGGTTGAGCGGATGTCTTCGGACATGGGTCGCTCGGGCTGCCTTCGTGAACTGAGCAAGGGTGTAGCCAACATGACCTAGTAGCACCATCACAGCTGAGTCAGAGTGCGAACGTCAGGGGATCAACTCACAAAGATTATCACTTCACAATAGACACGAACGACAGTGACAAGCAAGCAGATGTTGATGCAATCACAGCCCGTGTTTCAGAAGAAAGGGCTACGAAAATTTAGGCGTCACCGAAGTGTACTCCTTATTGAAGCGCATGAGGTGTCGTTCTCGAAGACAGGTTAAGAGAATCTTCAGCATTTTCAAAGCAGTTGTGATGAGAGACCCCGATGCGGACTTGTATTTTGAGTGGCCTACGAACGCATATCTTGGATGGAAAATCCGACCAACCCAAGAAAGAACTACCAGATTGCTCAAGATGTTCAACAAGGAGGTGTATTTCTGCCGCATGAATGTATGCATGTTCAGAGTGTGCAATAGGGAAGGTCATCTTCTCAAAAAGCCGTGGACGATCATGACAACAGATGCATCCTTCTACCAGCATGCAGCCCGAACGTGTGACGGTAAGCATGATCATGTATCCCTGGCCGGAGCTGGTAATAAAGCCGTGAATGGGCCAGCCTTTGCCCACCAGTCATGGCACGTCGCATTGTTCAGGTGTGGCGA